AAATTGTCCTTATGATAGCCTTGTATAGTACTCACAGATTGAAACGCAGCATCAAATTCTTTAGCATCACGACTTGAATGCACAATCACTTGAGATAACCACATTGTGTCGCAAAGAATCCAATCTATAAAGGTAATGTTAGCTATGACGTACACGTCAGAGTCTAAATTACGCTCGTACTACCCGAACTGAAGGCTCTTTAAGGAAAACTATTTGCATTATTCAGCCCTAAATTTTCCTTTTTCAATCCGTGAGTAGTGTACATCATTTTAAAGGCTTGCAAATATGGTGATTTTGGCCAAATAGTAAACTGATTTGCCTAAATGAACAACAACAAAAATTCATCTTTAGGCTGTCTAAAAGCAAGGAATTTTGAAATAATTGTAGGAAATAACCTGGTAGAAGTTACCTGCACTTTGTTTATGCTTGCAGGGTGATGTTATTTCACTTCAATCGTAGCAGTCTTGCTAAAAAACTTTAGTATGGTGCGTCCAGACGATGGACTGAATCTAGATTTGGAGGAACGAGCTGTGCATCGCATGACCTTGCATCAGCGATTCTCCCCATCTATGCCGCGCGTGCCCAGCTCGCGACCAGCTAACCTCAACCTGTTTCTTGCATCGTAGTTTTAGCGGTGGAGTGCTGCAGCTGTGGCAGGCAAACCAGCAGCGTCAGGCCAGCCGCACAACTTTTGTCTGTTTGGGCCATGCAGCTGCCTTAGTAGTTCATATCAGTTCATCGCTTGCTGGTGCATCGTTTGGTCTTATTTCTGAGGCAGCATTCTAGAACGATCATCCTTGGTACATTTAGATGCACACTAATTGGTGGGTTAGACAAGTGCTGGTAAGGTGCTGCTTTAATCATTGCATATGCGGGATTCAATGGCAGTAAAAGCGGGGCAGTCGCCGAGAGTAGTTGTCTCAGGGCAATGCCTGCATATCAACACTGCTGCGAATCAAAAAATAGAAACGCGATATGCTGTAGTGCAATGTGCATGCATGGTCAGTAATTGTTGTGTACAAAAGAAAGTCTGTGGTATAGATCGGCGCGTCACTGTAGCCTCCCTTTGTATGTGGGGCCACTTCGCGACAGTAGTGATGTCAGTCTTCAGCTGCTCTGCATACAGCAAGTTTTTTTTGTGCACAGCCTTTCCTTCAATAACGCCGTTCTCACTGAAACAAGTTACAGTGCTCGACGCTGTAGAATGTAGCATTGCTATGGAGGAAAGTCTGCGGCTGTAGTTTCGGTCAGCCCCCATGTTGTTGAATACTCTTGAAACTATCTACTGGCAGCTAGCACAGAAGCTGTGGTTGAGAGTAATCTGGCTCTGTGGTGTTGTCATCCGCCAACACCTCCTTCGTCATGTGGGTGCACCTGCTGGCGAATTATCCACGTATTCATCATCCGTGTCTGCTACAAATCTAGATTCAGTCTGCTGTCTGAATGCACCAGTAACAACTTAATAAAGGTTAACTGCTTTGTGTTTTCACTCTGCTTCATATACAGTATTGGTGAGCAGCCGGTGCTTGTCCTGCGGTATTTGTTTCCTGATGTCCTCGTCTCAGTCGTGCTGCTTGAACATTGATAATATCTTAGCCCTAGCTTGGCACAGTTCCATTTAGTAGCTCTCTCTAGCCATTGGTAAACATTTTTGTCTGTTATATTCAAATGCCAATTTCGAATAGTGCCTTGCTTCGTGTGATCCATCAGCAGTGACCATACAAATCATGGAAATTTTCATATTTTTGTGCACAGCCACATAGCACCAATTTTTCATTAATGTTTGGTCTTCTTGAAATGCTGAGGATACTCTAAACTTTATATTTCTTGTATTCTGTTAGTTTGGGTCCAATAGAATGTAGTTCTGTGTTGGAACTTGAAAAACCCTGCCAGCGAGAGGCAACCATTAAAAGGCTGTCTCTCTCTGCATTAGCTTTCGCCCCTTGTTTCATAAAGCAGGCGTGCAGACACAAGAGTGTTTGATCGAACCCTGGCTCAGCTACCAAATGGAAGGGGACATCATCAGTCCTTGGGGTGTGATTCCCATGCGGTGGCCTGCAGCACCTGTCTGCGGCCGATGCAGCGTGTGTTGCCAGAGGGCCCCGCCCGGCGCTGTGGAAGGTTTGCTGTGTAGCCCTCTTGCCAACAGTGTGTTCTTGCTTTGTAGCTGTACTTGCCATCCAAAGCTGTGTGGCTTATCTAAGTGCCATTATTTTATCTACAATTCTTAATATTAAAAGTTTGCGAGGAGATGCTGGCACTTATTTTGGATCTCTTTTCTGCTACCATACATGACATAACAAAAAACTTTGAAGAGAAAAACTTCATTAGTTCATATGATTGTCTGTTAATCGTGGTCATTGTAAAATGTGTTCAGGCTCCACAACTCAAGCTCTACTGGCACGTTAAAGAAAATCTTGTGTAGAAACAGTCTGACCAGATTAGCCACTGTGCTAACATGCTTTGTAAGGCACTCTTGTGGTAAGAGCCATGAATCGCAGTTATGGACACTCGAGGTGGCATGTGCTTGCACATTTGCCCTTGCTATTTTCTAATGCTTGTTTTATTAATGTAGCAAATCTGCTGTATTAAAAATGGGGTGCATTTCTAGCACCAATGGGAATTATGAAGTGGTAGCCATAAATCCTTAGAGGAGAACTTAGTGAAGCATATTCAGTATCCAGTGACAAAAAAATAAGAAAGCACTACATAGTTTTGCCTCATCAAGCACTAAAGTTAAGATTGCACGGCCACTCAATGAAACATTTTTTCAGTTTAGATTGTCTACTGCTTCCCGTGGGGTGCTAGGGTTTTCTTTCAGTGGACTGTGAGAAGTCTGGGCAATTCATATATGGTTTTGCTGTAAATAACTTGGAATATGTGTTTTGTGCCGCAAAACTGCTATTGAAAGGGCCGCATTTCTCTAGGAAAGTGGCATTCCTCTCATTGGACGTCTGACCTGTCATTAAAATGTGTCAGCTAAAGCTTTGTTTCTGGCAATATTGACATTTTGGAAATATGAGTAGTTGTGACTTCATCATGTTAGCTTCATTTAACATATGCATTTATGTCCTTTCAAAGTATAAGAAAGCACTTGCTGTAACTGAATATTCAGTCTTGCCAGCACTCTTGCATGTATGCTTTCACAAGGGATAGTAAATACATTGTCGACGTCCTATAAGATACCTGTTTGCTCATTGACAACATGCATTGTCAAATGCCTACTAAAGCAAATGCACAATTCTGGGATATTAAAACCACCAGACAAAACATGCATATTATAAGTTGGGAGAAGGTCATAATGCAGATACGAAATTAGACAGTGCAGCTGTTCTTTGTAAACTACTGAAAATTGTACTAGTAACTGCGTTGAAGAAATTTCTAGCTTTTACAAAACTTAATTCTGCTAGTTATAATAGCAGTGCAAGAGTGGTGATTCTAGTGTAAAGGGAATCGAAAGTTCAGTGCATAAGCTATTCGATGTCCAAACAAAACAGCGAATCAAGGGATTGCCTTGAAATGGTAAACACTTGTAGAACAAGATATGTACTGTAGCTACTTGTCTATTGAAATCTTTGCCAAAAGAAGTGCAGTTAAAATGCTGTTTCTACAATTTGAAAGAAGGATAATGTTAGCTTATTTCATGTTTTTTCTTTCATGGGCATAACAGGTGTAAAGACATTCGATAAGCCAACTAAAAATTATAGCCAACCCTCATCTGTGAAGGGCATAAAATTATTTTCGAGTCGTGCGCAGATTTATACCATCTGAACTCATGTCTTGCACTCAACAGCAATGCTATGTGCTTGATTGTGAGAACACACTTAAATTGGAGTAAAATTTACTCTGCTGTAAGCGAAATCTGTTCGCAGACAGACAGCTCTGCCTATCCTTGGTGTAGCGGAGGTTCGGTTGCGTAATTCTGTGATGTGCAACGTTTAAAAGAGCCCCACTTTATTAGCTCGGTGGTAATCATGCTGGCTTGTTATACAATGATATAATGAAGTTTCCCTCTAGCAAGGAAGTAGTACTGTGCATCCATCTTGCCTCTCTAGAAAGAAGGTGCATAAAACATTGGGTTTGTAGCACTAATTATCGAAAGGAATATATTACATCATTTATTGATATACCTGTGAATGCTACAAAGCCGATTAGTGTGCTGCCACATGTGTTATGTGGCTTGCTGCTCTTATTTGTACATGTAGCATGAGTGTGCAGTTTTAACTGCTTTTAGAGCAGGGGACCTGCTTAATTACAGCTGTGATGGCATTTTTCAGTATTTGAGCATTATGAGCCATTGCTTTGTGTTCCTTGACATTGCAGGCTGTAAGGAACATGTCGAGTATATCCCAGGAACACGTGGGGTCGTTCATGCACTTGTTAGCGACTGTCTTGTCTCGTATACACCGGAGTACTTTATACTCCGCTTTAGATGTGTTCCAGCAAACAAGTTCAGATTAATAACTACTTTGCATGTGTCAAGCACATACTTATTATTAAGCCATTGAAGATAACTCCTGGTATTTACATGTCAAAACCACAATATGATTACGAGTCACTCCGTAGTGGAGGTCTCCGAACATTTCGACTACCTGGGGCCTCAGCCTGAACCTAAATCTAAGCACATAGATATTCTCACTCCACCCCGGTTGAAATGTGGCTGCTATGTTAAAGATCAAACCCACATCTTCTGGGTCAGTCTTCTGGACCAAAAACCATTGCCACTGTGCCACCACAGAAGCTAAATTTGAGCAGTTCTTGTTTTTATTGGTACTTCTCTGTTTCTTTGTACACGAGGCGTTCTCCTTGCATAACCTTTGAACTCATCCGAGCACGTCTGATAAGCTCTCCTTTGGTACTGGTTGCTTCTCAAGTTTATGAAGTCGATGAGATTGTAATTGCATTTAGTACTGTAAGGCTTTTGTTGCCTTTGTCTGCTCTCCGTGACCAAATGCCTGTGCAACCTGTGCACTTAATGCGTTGTTTTTTTGTGCTTGCAGATATTCCGGGAACGACCCTGGTTTGAAGCGCTCGTGGCCAGTTCTGCAAGTGGGTTGGTGGTTGTGGCCACCATGACTCCATTTGACGTTTGCTGCACACGTCTATACAACCAGCCTACAGATGCCACTGGCAAGGGCATCATGTACAGAAATGTCTTTGACTGCTTTGCAAAGGTATACATGAAAATAAGCTTTCTTTCGCTTTCTACCGTATTTACAGGGTTGTATGTAGATTTTAATGGGGAAAGTGCACATTGCCATTTTTCTAGGTCATATCATATTATGGAGATATTTTTCACGAAGTTTTTCAAAATAGTCTTGTTTATAAAAGGCCATTGTCATTCTAACATGTTTCTTAGGTTGTCAAGTCTTTTATTAAATCCTGAAAAATCTTGAATTGTAATTTTTGGCTGTACTTATTTATCTGCAGTTTATTAACTGTAATGAAAAGTTGCGATAAGATCCATTTATGTGTTTCCTTACAGCTTTGTCAATCTTCTCTTTCATAACCCTTCCATCTCTTTGTGGGGTTCCATAGAACTGATTTGCTGAAGTTAGGATATGCAAGTTAGGGTAGTTTTGTGAGTGAAACCTTGCCCTATCATTAACTTCCTCGCGACTGTTCAGCATGCAATGACTTTGGTTAAAGTAATTTTATAAGGGGGATGTGCAAACAGTAAACTTAAAGTTCGAAGCGAATAGTGAATCGATATAATTTCTAATAGTAATAGTTCAGATTGTATATATTGTACATCATAATAAAAAATGAGCATATTTGTCATGACCCAACTAAACTCAATTATTTTTTTTTTAATTGGAACAAAGCATGTGATAAGGTCATTCTTTTTAGTTTGAAGTGAAGTGGATGCTACAACTTTGAATAGTTGCAGGATTTGAATTTCAGTAGAATGCAAGTGATACACGGTAAAATATGTTACGTTTTAAAAGTTACTACGTATATTTAAAGCTAGGCTTTTTGCGAATATTTGAACGAATAGTAATGTATTTGTATTTGCCTCGATTTTAATTACAATAATTATTGTGAATTTAGAAGTATTCAAAACAAGTACATGTACAGGCGGGTTCACAGTTAAAGGGAACACTTTTGTGGGCATCATGCCTGCATCTCGCTCTCTGGCAAAAGCATAGTGGCTTAGATTGGCATAAGACTACTGCTGGTTGACTGTTCTGACTCTTTTTGGTAGGCTAGTGTCGTCCAGAAACAATGTTTCTACGTAACTCGCAGTTATGAGGCCCGTAATATGACGGGTGCTCATCGGAGTGTTCCCTTTATCAGTGAGTATACATTATTAGTCTGTATGTAATCGCACTGTAGATGGGGTTTTGTTGCAGTAGAGGTGCGTTTTACTCTGAATACACCTTTACAGGGAAGATTTTCACTGGCGCAAAGCCTCAGTTTAAGGTTAAAGGGACACTAAAGTCAAATAACAATTTACGTCACAGTGAGAGCTCCACTGGATGACAACATCTACAACGACAGTATCATCAACAGCACTGCTCTACTTACCAAAAAAATAAAGGTAAATGCACAAGAATACGTGCGCCGCAGTAGGACATTCTCAAAATGATCCCGATGACGTCAGACGGACCGCCTACAATTGATCACTAGTAATCGATTTAACTGCACTAAATAGAGAACCTTCTGTGCATCAAGGCACGCAATAAAATGCTGCTTGTTCGTTTCTGTTTGATTCTTAAAAGAAAGAACCACCGGACGCTACTATGGGGAATGGCGCGAGTGGTTCAAAAATTTCATTTTCGCGTGGTTACACAGGACAGGTAGTGCCATCTAGCGGGGCGCAGTTGAACTAAAACACGTCTGCCATCTTGGAGCCAATGGTAGAAAATTGATCAATGGTTGTTGTTGCTGCTGCGGCTCCTGCTGCTTTCATTTTGTCGACTAGTGTCTACAACTGCGCAGTAAAGTTGGGCAACAGCGACATGAGTCGGTCTGTTTCTCTAGGCGGGTGATTTGAAGTGCGCTAACCCAAAGCAGGCCTCTAAAACATCATTTTATTTCAAAATGAGCCCTTCCTTGGCACTAAAGTAACACTACAAGGTTTCTGGATCGCTTTTTCTACAATCAACGTCGACCTAATAGTTGCCTTTAGTGTCCCTTTAATGAACATGTTACCCCCTCATCGATTGTTTTTTAAATTTAAAACTTGTTATATTGGCTTATATGCTGTAAGCATAGTAAATTTTACAATGTAACATACCTTCTTCTTGTTTAGGTTAAAAATTTGTTATATTGGCTTATATGCTCTAAGCTTAGTAAATTATAAAATGTAACATACCTTACAGGTTATCACTCGTGCATGTTACCGAAAAATATTGTGCAGGTTTCCGAAAGTCAAATCTGCCTACTATTTGAAGTTAGCTTCTACATCCTTTAAATGAACGAGAATGACATTTGCTCATGCTTAGTTTAAATTAAAAAGTATTTTGCAGGTTAGTAGGTTCAATACACATATGCTTTTTTTTTGTAATATGTAATGACGAATTCCATTCGAACCAAAAATTTATTATCATCACAAGCCTTCTTAGGGCATATAAGCCTGTGTGACAAGCTTTTAAACTGAAAAAAAAAAAAAGATTAATCGATGTCAGGGTAATATTTTAATTTGACCATGAAGAAGGACCTGAAAGCGCAATTTTTTTTTAAAGTATTCTCACGGCATAGAATTCATATGGTGCACTGAAACCACCTTTACAGGTAGCTTACATGTGGTCTAACATACTCTCAATCGTTCACTGCGAGTACTTTGAAATTTATAATAATTTAAGTCTGCGTCGAAATGACTTTGAATACTGTAGTATTTGTTTGAATACTTGAAGTGCTCGAATATTTGCAAATGCCTATTTTATAACATCGGTTCTTGTTTATTGCATACATTCTCATTCTGTACTAGTATTTCTTTGTGTTGATTGGCTTTGCAGCTGTCAAGGATTAACGAAAATCTTGCTTTCAACAATGCCAGTATTTTATATTGAAAAAAAAAATTCTATAATGTATGGCAATGTTTTGAATTTTGAAATGACACACATGAAGATACATAGCTTACTAGAACATATTGTGCATGAACTAGTTGGTTCATGCTGAAGATAGGCTAAGGGTGCGACTCGTGTAGACTAAAACGTTCTGTCCCTTTCTTTTTTTCGTCTATGCCGGTTGCATCGTTAACCTTTCTTCGAAAATACGTAAGTTGTAAAAGCTTCATAAGTATTGTCACAGGTCACTCAGGACAGGGCTTTGTTTCCTCTAGTACCAGTAGTATCGTACCGAAGGTAATGATCTGTGATTTAAAGTCACAAGGCTCAGAAAGTACTCGCATGCTCGAGCAGGTCGGTCCTCTTCGTTGTGGTTCGTCCCAATGCCTACTGAATGGCAATTGATCTGCAGCTCGTGGGAAGGGGCACTCATCATTTGGTATGGCATCTACTGTCTTGGAAAGAGGCTGAAAGCATTTTGGTCAAGATGGGCTGTCTTCAATGACCTCATAGCTTAGGACGAGACGATGCAGCACCTTGTATGTGTCGAGGTATCAGCGTAGAACTTTCTCTTCAAGGCTTTTATGTCGTACAGGAGACCAAGCTCGTACCCTTTCACTGGGATGATACAAATTGGGGGCAAAGATTGTATCTCAGGAGTTGCGCTCTTGCTTGTTGATTTGTACGATGAGCAAACTTCCTAGCTTCTTCAGAACACAGAGTGAGGCAGCATTCATTTCAGAATTACTTCAATAGTGAGGCAGCATAGTCTTACATAGTCTTGCATATCTTAAGTGGATAAGCCACACTGTTTCAAAATGATTTGGGTACAGTTTGGCCAGGATGAGTTGTGCTTGTTCTAAAGCTCTAAAGGATTATAGGACAAAGCTATGCATATGGGTGTTATTATGCATAGAAGCAATATTCCTAGCAAAAGGCATTGTCGGAAAAATTCTCGATGTGTACTGGAGGCTGGTTTCTGTCTGCAACTTTTCATTGAGCTCTAATGTACACAGGGCATGCAGGTGCGAGATTGGGACATTCTTTAGCACGTCTTGCAATGGCGAAAATCGGCAAACACTTCGTAGCATTTTTGTGGTATGGAACAATTGTGTCGATCAATGTGGGATACATGGCGACTGTACAATAAGAAGACTGAAAAACCAGTGGTGCTGTGAGTAGTGATGTTTTATGTGTAAGCTACTAAGAGCAGAATGGCATTTATGTGTGTGCACTGGCAGCAAAAAAAAAAAAAATAAAATAAAAAGAAAACCCAATCAGCAGGAAGGTCTGAGTGCCCCTTCAGTGATGATAACCAGCATAGTACATATAAAATTTCTGTGGGAACCCAGATAATTGCCAGATGCTCTTTTTCATCTTGGGGTAATTTTTATTGGCTTTCGTAAGTGAGCAAGATGCATATCCAGGAAATTCTTGCTCGTGCTGGGCAAGAACAGTGCCGACACCAACACCGTTGGCATCTGTGTGCGCCTCTGTGGAGTTGTCAGGTCGTAATGGCCCGAATTGGAAGAAGAGGTATCAGCAAACAACATAGATCGATGATAATCTCATTGCACCCTGATGACCCTGAAGTGAAAAGCCTGTTGTTTTACAGCAGGTTTTTATCGAGGGTGATATGATGGTAGTGAAATTTCAATCAAAGTGTCGAAGTAGGAGCACAGACTGATAAAACGGCACAGTACACACATCAAAACATGTCAAAAGTGGTGAACATGCTCAAGTCTGGGCCAAAAACAATGACATTGTCAAGATAGCACAAACTGGTGTGCCAGTTCAAGCCTTTCAGAACTGTATCCTTCGTGCACAGGAAAGTTTAGAGTGCGTTTCAAACTTCAAAGAGCATTGCGTTAAATTCATATAGGACATTGGGTGTGACAAAGGTCGTCTTTGACTCATTCTTGTCTGCTATGAGCTTTCAGTGCAAATTAAGTAATGGAAAGACTCTGCTCCTTGTAACCTTATAAAGAAACTCTGCTCCTTGTAGAGTAAGCATCACTGTGAGTGGCCTTGTGAATGTGCTGAAAGTCCATGCCAAGCTATCTTTGCATTTTGATAGATGAAATTTTGTTCTAAGAAATCTGTGCCTCTTTTAAGCATTTTTTTTTCCCACATGAATGACAGAAGTGAGCAGGAGAACACACCCAGTGGTTTCATTAAAATCTAGTGATCTCTAAATACTGCTGGAGCTTGACCTGCTGGGCTTTAAGCATCCTCGAATTTCGCACAATTGTTGTGAATGCAGCAATTTCTAGCAAGCATGCCAAATAGAATCTTTTTGTAATCAATGCAGGTGTTCAAGACTGAGGGCCCTATGGGTTTCTACAAAGGCGTGACAGCCAGCTTCCTCAGGCTTGGCCCCCACACTGTGCTGAGTCTTGTCTTTTGGTCAGAACTGCGGAGGGAATATGCACTCTTCTCACAACCCACCGTTGAGGCGGCCTGACGACATTCTGGCCAGGCATCTAGTTGCTAGCCCCCTATCCTTGTTCCTTAGACTGAGCCTTCTGTTCGCACATCCAAGACGTCACTAGGTGGTTTCAAGTCACTGAAAATGTTTGGAATTTTAACATGGCACGTTTAGTAATGTCTGCCTGCGTTGCCTGATTGCAGCTTCACCCTTGCAAAAGCGTGTCTTGACACTTTAGACTGAATGATCGCTTTCTTGTCCGCTTTTCAGGCTGCGGAGGTGAGGATGTGACATGCTGTTTTGTAAGGCTGCGTCCAAGAAAGTACAAATGCTGTCTTGTTCGGCATCCGAAGCATTGTGGTGCCTCGGAAGTAGACTGTTCGTGTTTGCCAGATGACGGGAAAATTTCCGGTGCATTGTTCCTTGTCCTGTGAATGTCCTGCAGCCACGAGGAGCACTGATTCCTCCCCTTGTACAGTATTTAAGCTTTTCTGTCTTTTTATAAGAATGGCTCATCATATGTGCTTAATGAAGACTGTTGGCAGTGAGTTTTTTGGGACGCACTGTATTGAGTGCATATTTTGAGATAGTTTTTTTTTTGCGAAGATCTTTGAATTGGTGGCTGCAGGGCGCATTGACTGTGCTGATGGTGGTGACCCATCTGGGTCTCTGTGTACAGTTTTTACCTGAGATTTATCCACTCGAGCGCATAGGATATTGTTGAGCTACGGAACAAACTATGCCGAAAATGCTTTAAGAGTTAAGAAGTGTACATTTTGGATACTTGAGAGATGGAAGCTTCAACCATTGGTTCTCATAGCTGTTAAGACTCCATGTAAGCATTTTTCCACCGATTCTTCCTTTTGCTTTGTCCTCTAGTGGCTTGCCTGCACCCGAGTGTGTTCTTGGCCAGAGAGAAATGCAGTACTATTTAGGGTGATTTCAAACTTACTTAGGCATTGTCCCATCCAAAGAATTTGAAGTTATTTTTAGGGCATTCATGAGGCTATTTGGTACCTGTTGATGATAAAACCTTACTTTTCTCAGTAAGCTGCTTGTGTAAGTGGTTGCTTATTACATTTTTGTAAAGATAGAACTAGTGAACAAGCAGGCTTCTAAGGCTGCTTTCTTTGCTGCTAATGTATATATATTATCAATCTGTATTTAGCTGCATTATGTTGGTAAAACTGGTGCCCAATGGTTAGAAATTGCGACAGCTTCATTTAATAATAAAGTGCTGTAGCTTAAGACTGCTATCTTGAGGTACAAATCTTTTATTTTGTTTCACCCTTGTTCACCTGGGATCTCTGAATGCACATAATGGAATTGGAGCTTCCCAAGTTTTCAAGAATCTCATCTGTGCTCACTTTTGCTCTTCTTAACCATTTCATATGTCATGATTATTTGTACTTGCGAGCTCTCAAGTGTGTTTCAAAAGCTTTTTTTTTTTCTTTTCTTGCATGGTGGAAGCAGCATTTATTTTTTTTGTTGCACACACTGCTGTTCAGTGGCTGTTCATGTGACCTTATGTTAAAAAAAAAAAGCTGTAAGTTTGCTTCCTTTGTGTGAGCACAGGAACCAATGTGGATCAACCAGTGCACACGAGCACACACTAGAAAGGCAAGATCCTCTGCTTTTGTTTTGTTGCTTTGTTGTGTATCCATACGTTCAAATGTAGAGAAACACATTTATACATGTACATTATTATTTGTAAGACAGATATCATTTAGTTTGACACTTGTTGCCCATTTCGCCAGAAGTCCATACTGTTGGAGCATGAACTGGGAAACAATAAAAATCAACCCTAAAGCTTACAAACACTTGTTTTACTTTGCATGCATACAGGTCCATTGACTCGCTGTGGTGGTGTAGTGGTTATGGTGACTGTTGAACCGAAGGTCGCGGGATCGAATCCTGGCCGCAGCAGCCGTATTTTCGGCGAGGGTGGTTGAAATTTACGGAGCCCTCCGCTACGGCCTCTCGCATATTCATATCATGATTCGAGGGTCAGCCAAGTGAATGTTCCTATGCCGATGTTTTTGCGCCTGCATGGTGCCGCAGTTCAGTTAACATCCAGTGCATTACTAGGAGTGTGTATGGCATCGTACAGCCATCATACAGAATCTTTTGCCACTTTGTTACACATTTGCGGTGTTCATTTCACTAATCCTCGTGCATGCTGTGATGGTTTAGGGGCTAAGACGCAATGTCGCGGGCAAATCCTGATAGCGTGAAAAGAAAGCACTCGTGTATCAAGCCTTGGCTGCTTCTCAAAGGTCACCGTGTGACCAAAGTGTATTGCAGTGTTTCATAGCCTTTTGTGGTGCGTTAAAAAGGGCCCTGCAACATTTTTGTAAGTAGTAGTTTAATGCATTTATTAAAATAGTCTGTTGCCTCACAAATCGACGGCCGCAAAAAATTTGCAATTAGTCAAGTGTGAGCAGAGTTGCAGGGATTTGCTGCGCTCTTTAAAGGGGCATAGACGCAAATATTGTGCATCTTGCTTTTTCTGTTGCAATAATTAGCCACGGCTGGAAATTCACTATTCACGGCTGGAAATCTCGTTTGCTCGAGCGCGCGACTGTTAATCACTGGGAGGCGGTATTATAGTGCTCCGTCACAGTTTTGGTTTTAGAGATCGTGGAGGGGCGGGAGCCGGAGGGATTTTTATGTAAACATAACTAGCTACAAGAGCACACAACACCGCGTGCATATCAACACTGCGTTGATAACTCTTTCTCAACAGACTTCCCGCTTGCTGCTACAATCCTCTGACAATTCGTAAATATTCGTGCCTCCCGTCAGCCTTTACTACCGGGCAAGCCTGCCACCTCCTTTCGTTGAAAAAGTATGCTGGGATGAAGAGCAGCAGGATCGTGAGAGCACACGCAAACTTGTGATGGTTGGTCGCGTGTTTCTTGTGCAGTGGCGCGATACGCAATTTAAAATTGAGTTTAAACATATTCTGGGCTGTATCATTCGTAGATATTTCATAGATGATGCGTGTGTGTCCAGGCAAATCGATCCTACAAGTTTTCTTGCCTTCAAAATTTGTGTCGGTACACCTTGAGCGCTCTCATCTCTCCTTTCTTACAGCGCTTGGTACCTAATTTACTGTATTGCAGTTTTTGAATGTACAAAGTGTGTAAGGTCGGGAAAGAAAAAAAAAACATATTCAGGAGCAATATTTTGGTGTCATTATCAATCGACTGTATAATGTTCTCTAGTATTTCACAGCGTGGTATTCCTATCGCAGTCTGCACATATAAAACCCTTGACTGTTCTTCAGGGTATGAACTCGGTCATTAAAAGTAGAACGAGAGTGCCTCGTGAGTGTGATAAACAAGCCAGCAGTAGCGCAAATAAAGAAGGAAATATAATAAAATAAATAAATAAAAATAAATATAATTCTACCGCCTCTGCAAGGAAGTGCCGAGAAAGATAAAAACCACTGTTCGCGCGCCTCGGTTGCTATCGCGCTGTGAAACTGAAACCATGAATGCCCAACGCTTTTTGTAGAGGGGCCAGCATCTCCCAGTGAGCTTGCGTCACCACAATAGAGTTAATATGCAGTCTGTAATATTAACTCTATGAGCGTCATAATAGACAATTGGACAGACAGACACAGAACTTTATTGGGCCTTGATAAACGCTACTTGTTCAAGGCAATGCCTCAAGGGCAGAAAGACATGACCCCATCGTGGACAGCCTGTAGTTGTGGCAGTAATTCTGAACGTCGAAATGCAGTGTCCCAATCCTCTTCTGTAAGCCGATTTGGGTCCTGTAACGAGGGGCACGACATAATGTGAAATTTCAACTGGAGGTTCGAAAATGTTCTGCAAAGACACTGTGGGACATAAAAACGCCGTTTTACATTTATGGCAAAAACACTCGAAGGGGACCACTGAAAGGCAACTTTTTTGTTAATGATTTTCATACTTCAATATGTAGCATTTTGTTTCTGAGAATTTCAAATTACAACCGGGAATGCTCTAGCGCAAGGGTAGGCAAACTTCGGCCCGCGAACTGCATGCGAACCCCAGCACGACGTTCGAACTCTCCTTTATCATTTCTTATTTATTCATTTATTTATTTATTTAAAGGGGCCCTGCAACACTTTTTGACCGTGGTCAGGAAACGCTGTCGATCGGTAGTAGCGGCTCCCGAGAACACGCGAGCTAAATATTGTAGCGCAGCATGGCCTAAAATTCACAATAAATTATTGAAGTCAGCAAAAAAGTCACAGATTTGCCTCAAAGGCGAAGCAATGAACGCCATCAATGAACGACATCGCCACTCTTGTCAACGCGATAGCAACGATTTGAAAGGTCACGCGCAGAATGGAAAGCAGATCGAAACGCGCCGCGCGTTTCTCGCGCACAAATTACGCTCAAAATTTACTCACAGGTACGGATGCACGCGAATAAGCGTCTCATTTGTTACTTCGCTAAGTCTGAAAAGCGCGCGCTTTTCGCGAGCGAAGTCTGCAATGATTGCAGTGACCTTTGTGCGCCCGGTAACTACAGCAAAATCGTTCCACGTAAAGCCCGAGGCCAGCCAAGGCATACGCCGAAAGGTTGCCGCAGTGACGTCAGAGGGTGGGGGCCCAGTTACGCCGCGAACGCGGCGGAAAGCCTGTGTTTCGTTCACGTTTTAGGAGAACCAACGCTCCCGCTCTCGCAGCTGCTGCGGCTAGATTGGGCGGAATAAACGATGGGGAAAAACAGTCTTACTGAGCATGCTCAGTTGGGCAACTGGGCCCCCAACCTCTGACGTCACTGCGGCAGCCTTTCGGCCTTGAAATTTAGTCTTCCCCTCCTCGCCACCGCGAGATAAGGGTGCGCGAGGGAGCGTCGCTCCCCTTCTCTAAGCCGGGCAAAGTACGCGTAGGAGACTAGAGCGAGCACCGCTGCGCGATGTGGCGACGTGCGCTCATTGCGCCATCTTTCTGGTAATGCCGAAAACACAACAGCGGTAAGTGGTAGATATAAATAGCTTGCCGTTTGAACAGAGAAAAAAAAAAAAAACGTTTTCCAGAGTGGCTTAGTGGTTAACCCCTCGCTTTCACGACCAACGCCTCCTAGAAAAATTATGCCTGGAACGTGAGCTGTGAACGTGCTGCCTACCCTCGGATTTTACCCTCCCCCTCCGGTACGGAGGTGAACTCCTGTGGCGGTCGACCCCTGCGAACAGAGCAATGCTCTCACAGTTGCCTCCGAGCAGCTGTGATGTCACGTGACAGAGCGGTATGGTAATGTCACGTGACAGACCGGTACGAAGGCGAGCGGTCCCATGCGGCGGACGGTCGCAACACGCGGTAGGAGGCATGGCCTCCAAGATTTTGTGCTGTCAGCAAGCTCTCAATTGAAGAGAGAGCCACGTTCCAAGCAAAATTTTTCTAGCAGGCGTTGTCACGACGCAGAGGTCCTTCATTCGATTCCGCGCACCAGAGTGCTTTTTCTGGATTTTTTTTCTTTCTTACGTTTATATATACATATATATATATATATATTGTCGCGAGCAAAAACAATACCTGCAGCCAGGAGTTCACCCGAACCAGAGCAACGAAAACGTTATCTTCTTCTTCGTAGCCCAAAACGGGTATCCACAGCGGCTCGTTCATCAATGGTGGCATTACCCCCTCTCCCAAGAAGCATCGTCTCGATGCTGTACATGAAGGCAAAAAAAGAAAAGAAAATGAGATGAAAATTACCATGCAAGCAAAATGAATGCCGTAAGGTGGAATAACATAGTTGGTTGTGGAGTCAAGAGTTAAATGAGAAATAAGAAAAATAGGAAAGAATGTAAGGGAGAGACGAATAAAGTCAGTCACTCTCTGGCGATTCACAGCGCGAAAAGTATGGTTTCAGCCGTGAAACGTGAACGACTTCAGTTCGCGGGGTGAAACGGGAACGTCTCGAAGTGCCTTCTGGGAGAACCTCGTATGTGACGTCGCTGAGACGTCGCACGACCTTGTAAAGGCCGAAGTAGCGGCGAAGAAGCTTTTCTGAACGGCCACGTTGTCGGGTAGGGGTCCACACCTAGACTTCATCACCGGGCTTGAAAATAACTTCAAGTTGACGAAGATTGTAGCGGCGTGCGTCTGCAGTTTGGTGATGTTGAATACGGTGACGAGCAATTTGACGGGCCTCTTCTGCACACTGCGCGAATTTGGCGGCATCGGTGCGGTATATTCCTAAGTTGTCGGGCAGGAGCATGGCGTCGAGCATCGTCGTGACCTCGTGACCGTGGACTAAGCGAAAAGGTGTGAAACCGGAACTTTCTTGAACAGCAGTATTATACGCAAAAGTTACGTAGTGAAGTGTGGCGTCCCAGTTCTTGTGATTGATGTCAACATACTATGACAGCATGTCTGCAATTGTCTTATTGAGTCGTTCAGTCAGCCCGTTTGCTTGCGGGTGGTAAGCCGTTGTTTTACAATGTTCCGTGCCACTTAATCGCAAGACTTCCTGCAGCATCTCTGCGGTGAAAGCTGTCCCACGATCAGTAGTGACGACAGCTGGAGCACCGTGACGTAAGACACTAAAAATTGGGCGACATCTGCTGCTGTTGCTTTTGGAAGCGCCTTGGTTTCACTGTAGCGTGTTAAGTAGTCGGTAGCGACCACAATCCACCGGTTTCCAGACGATGACGTAGGGAATGACCCCAGCAAGTCCATGTCAATCTGATGAAAGGGCGCCTTTGGTGGGCCTATTGGTTGCAGTAGTCCCGCTGGTCGTAAAGGTGGAACCTTACGTCGCTGACAGTCGCGACATGTGCGAACGTAGTGCTTCACAGTCTTTGCGAGACGTGGCCAG